AGAGTGCCAGGGCACTCAAGGGTACAATGGATGAGTTGGTGGCCGTCCCTGACCATGGGGTCACAGAGGGCCAATTGGTCAACCTCTTTTACCGGGCTATGCCCGAAGCCTTTCGAGGGCAGTTCTTCGCGAAGAGCGAAGACCCTGCCACCACTTACGATTCCCTTAGTCGTGAGGTGGTGGCTTTTGAAGCGAAGTCAGTGTCCCTGTCCACCTTTTGCCATAAGGATTTGGACAAGGGAAAGCAATGGAAAGGCCGCACTATCTCAGGGCAGGTAAAGACCAAGGATAGCCTCGTCCTGACTTTAGATGAGGGTAGTGTGGATGAGATTCCCTACGATCAGATTGAGTGGGGGCTAGAGGAGGCGGACAGCGGTGTGGGCCAGGGGAGGACTTACACTGCTGTCGCGGCTGGAGGGAGGCCGCAAGGAGGAAGAGGCAGGGCCAAGGGGGCCGGGCCTCAGGGAGCCGATTTCAGGGCGATCAGGGGGTTGGCGGCAGAGGAGGAAACCGCCAAGTGGGAGGCAGGGGTCAAGGTCCCTCGCAAAACCGTCCTAGGAATAGGTCTCTCTATCGGGTAGGAGGATGGCACCCAGGGCTACCGCAGGGAGGCCTTGGGAATCTTTGGGTCTGGACCATACTTTATGGCAACAACGATTGGACCGGGGCCAGTCCATCTTCTGCGGTGACCCGGGCCATATCATCAAATACTGTCCTAAGTACAGAGAGACCTGAACGGCTGCCCAAGGGCCAAAAGGCAGCCGCCGGTAGGGGTAGCAACTGCCCCTACCACTAGGCCATGTGGGGAAAATACCGCTAGCCGGCAGGAGACTCCCACACCACATGTGCCTACGGCAGAGGTTGCAGGCCGGTGTCTAGACAGCTGTCCCGAAACTGCTTGTGTTAGAGTTTCGCTAGACACCTCCCTCACAGGCGTGACCGAAGAGTTGAAGGAGAGGATGCCCGCCTGGGCCAAGATGAAGAAGGAGAACAAAGGGCAGCTTATATTACTAGATACAGAGATCTTTAGAAGTAGAGTAGGGTCCCTAGTAGATTTAGGGGCCACTCGCAGCTATATTAGTAGGAAAGCGCTGCAGAAGTTGAGGTTGGGACTTAAAGTCTAGAAACTGACAGACCCCATAGTTAGTATCCTCGCGGACAATCGTACTATGATTGTAGAGGATTGCGTAGAGGGAGTCCAGGCATATTTCCGCCTAGAGAAGGATGGGAAAGTGGAGAAGGTCCCCCACTCCCTGACTCTCCTCGTAGAAGACAGCCTCCCATTTGATATTGTCTTGGGAATGGATTGGGGAGAGGCAGCCGGGGCGACGCTCCATCTGAAGGAGCACGAGTGTAGGCTCCCTAGTTCCTCAGGCGAGGCGCCTGTTCCATGTGTCAGGGGTAGAGAATTCCTTGGCGCATTGCTGCCTGAGTGCCCCCGCGTTCGCCAAATTAGTGAAGAAGGAGAAATTGAATGAGCAGGTCTTTGTTGCCTATGTGAGGCCAGTGACTGGGCCTACGGAAGAAAAACCGATGGACCCTGCGATTGCCAAGCTGTTGGGAGAGTTCAAGGACCTAACCGAGCCGCCAATAGGAGTGGTACCGCGGCCCATCCAGCACCGTATTGAGATAGAGCCTGGCAGTAGGACTCCTAAGGGCGCTGTATATAGGATGTCCCCACGGGAGTTAGAGGAGCTTCGCAAGCAGTTAGACGAGCTCCTCGAGAAGGGTTGGATTAGGCCCAGTTCGTCCCCTTTCAGAGCGCCTGTTCTCTTTGTTCCTAAGAAAGAGGGAGAGTTGAGAATGTGCATAGACAATAGGGGTCTGAATGCTATTACAGTGAAGAATGCTGAGCCACTGCCGAGGATAGACGATCTCTTAGATCGAGTGCAGGGGGCCAAATATTTCTCTAAGGTAGATTTAAAGTCTGGATATCATCAAATAGAGGTACATCCTGATGATCAGTA